AATAATAATTGAACAGAAACATTCATGTATAAAATAATAATTGAACATTATTTATCTGAGGAGCAGCTTTGAGTTTAACTCCATCACTGAACTCTCATCTTGAACAAGCATGAAGGCGACAGTGGAAAGAAAAACTCCCTGATGAGGAAGAAACCTTTAGCAGAACCAGGATCAGGACAAGAGGACCATCTGCTTCGACCGGCTGGGTTTGAGAGGAATAGATACACAATGGCAGGTCAAGAATCACATGTTAAGATAGAAATAGTATCAAATGAAAACTATTCAGTTTTAACAATTAATTTAAGGAAATGAGGTCAGTTTGTCGGGCAGCACGGTGGCGCAACTGGTAGAGCTGCTGCCTCTCAGCGAGCAGGTCCCTGGTTCAAACCCCGGTCCGGGGGCCTTTCTGGGTGGAGTTTGCATGTTCTCTCCGTGCATGCGTGGGTTTTCTCCGGGTGCTCCAGTTTCCTCCCACAGACCAAAAACATGCATGTTAGGCTGATTGGTAACTCTAAATTGTCCCTAGGTGTGAGTGAGAGAGTGAATGTTTGTTTGTCTCGTTTGTCTCTATGTGTCCCTGTGATGGACTTGCGACCCGTCCAGGGTGTACCCCGCCCCTCGCACAGTGATTGCTGGACATGGGCACCAGCGACCCCCGTGACCCAAAAAGGAATAAGCGGGTAAAGAAAATGGATGGATGGATGGATGGATGAAGGTCAGTTTGTCCTCTAGTAGTCTAAGTCTATAGCAGCATAACAAGCTGACCCTAACTATAGGATTTATCAAAAGGAAAGTCTTAAACTGGACAATGTGTCAGTCTCATGGACAGAAACTGGAAGTTGGTTCCACAAGAGAGGAGCCTGAGAACTAGGGGTGCACCGATAAATCGGTCGATACTTGCATGAGAAACCGATTTTACAGATTTTTTTAGTTTTGACAACAATTGTCTGAACTTCATTTATATTTCAGAGCACGACCTCATGACCAGTTAAAACCAGTTTGTGTTGTTCTAGGTTATTGATCAAGGGTACGTTTTTCAGTAGAATAAGATTGAAAATTGAAGGTGCATTGTGACCTTATCACACCTGATGGTGTCGTTTATAAAAATAAAATCGGTATCGGCCAAAAAACTGCAATCGATGCACCTCTACTGATAACTGGAGATCTGTCCAGGTGTCCCCTGTCTCTTACAGTGACTGCTGGACCCAGACCCAGGGCTGGGTATCAGTCAAACTTTTTCGTTACTGGTACCTTCACTTCGGTTTTGGTTCCTGGACGGTTCTTTTTTCGATTCCAATTTTATAATTAATATTAATTCTAACAAGAATAAAATTATGTTACACATTACAGTACAAATCTTGAGTTTTATTTTTTAACTTTGGTATTTTTCTGTTCCAAGCAGTTTTCTTACATAAAAACAAACAAATAATTTCCAGTTCAAAGACCAGTTTCAAACCAGTGACAGGTCAGTGTCTAATGGTCACTGCTTCACACTGAGGACCTTTTCACTGAACAGTTTTTCTTCAGAAACATCAACATGTCTTCTTTCTGTGGACACAAACCAGCTGCTCCTGGCTGACGGTGTCTCCAGCAGTAGATGTTCACTCTGAGGCTGTAGATGATGATTGTTGCACACACAGATACCTGGTTGCCAGTTTGACATATGTCCCTCACATCCCACCAGCAGGTCACTGGATTCACTGAGGTTAGAGTTGAAGTTGATGCAGATTCTGCACCTCTGTGTCTCTGCCTGAATCTTCTCTGGGGTTCAGGGCTCTGATCATCTCCCTAACTGACATGAGAACAAAACATCAACAGTAACATGGTCGTGTTATTTAGGGTGTAACGGTACGCTAAAATCACATTTTGGTTCGGTTCATTTTCGGTACAAAAAAGCCAAAATAAAGAGTTACAAAATGTTTATTTTGAAACTATGCCAAGTAAACAATATGTTTTTATAAAAATGAATAAAGCGACCCATTTGGATGATATTTTAAATAAACGGCACTCTTTACAATAAATAAAGTATACTAACAACAATAATGAAAATCTTAATACAATAACAGTCAGAACCAGAACAATAAGCAGCAACGGACTGTTTACAATCTAACTAATCAAGTTTTAAGTTTTTGTCCAAAAAGACCAACTTTTCCACATTTTCTACTAAAGTTCAGATCTAGTTACAGTTACAGTGACATCATCTCCAGCCGTGGAGAAAACCTCTCACTAACAACAGTAGCAGGAATAAAGAGGCAGAGCTCTGATGATTTTGCAGTGTGGCCTCATCATGACTCAACCTCTTGGAGCTGCTCCCACGGGTGGAACAGGTCCCTGGAAAAGTTCAGAGTTCACTCATCACGCACTTCTTAGCTGGAGGTGGTCTCTGATTTCCCTCAAGAGGAAGAAGACTCAGCTGTTATCTCTGTCACAGACTGGAAGTAAAACACAAAGAGGTAAAAAAAAAAAGGGTTAATAAGATTATAATTTTAAATTTAAAAAAGTTAATTAGATTATAATAATAAAATAACCATACCTCTTCTTGAACGGTTGTTATGAGGTGGTTGAATCTCTCGGTCATCATCATCATCAGGACAGGACTTTAATCTGCTCCAGGGCTTGTTGACCATCACTTTGATCTTTTTCATAAAGTGCTGCTACAACTTTTTGGTTGAAGTGTTGACGTGATGTCGTAGCAGGTGAACAACTCGGCGGCTCAACAACTTTAAAGTCGGCGCATCAACAACATTCAGACGTAGATCCAGAGCTTTAAAACCTCCTACAGCTTGTGTTGTTGCTCTGGACCGACCTGACTCACCTGAGAACGTTGTTTAAATGATGATGTTATCGCTCTTTGCACCGACCAAGCAGCTAGAAGAGACGTTCACGTTCAGATGATGTCGTTTCACGTTGTTAACAAGTTCGACGTGTTGCTGCTGCAGATCCAGTCTCAGTGAAACAACGTCCACACAGCTTTGGATTTACACTTGTCTTATCAAGAAACACATAATGTTCCCAAACAGGAGACCACAACGAGAAGCTAATGCTGCGCGCGCTGCAAGATAATAGCGCCGTGCTGAAACACGCTTAAGAACTTTAGTTCCGCGGTACATAATCTCTCGTTAATAACATTTAATGAGTGAAAAAAATAACCAAAACAGTACGCACGTGGACCGAACCGAACGTGCCGTACCGAAACGGTTTGGTACACCCACTGTACCGTTACACCCCTAGTGTTATTATTGACCAAAAACCATAATCTAGGCTGAGAGATGAAAGCTTAACTGTCAACAACATCCTTTACAGTTTAACTTACCTCCACCATGCAGCCTCCACTGTAGAAAAAGCAGCAAACTTTTAACAACAAAGTTTGTGACTGTCCTGTGGCCCCCACCTCGCTGTTCTTTTGTTCTCCTCACATCAGGGTCAGAACCTCCTGTGAGGAGAACATGAACATCAGGTGAACTGTTTAACCAGCTGACCTCATGGATGAGCACATTTTTACAAGCTTCATCTGTTACTGTCAATCCTTTAATTAGCTTTGATTTAGCTAGCTACATAGATAGCCATAAAATAAATTTACACACTAATTTCTTAAAGTTAGTGTTACATGGATCCTAGTTTAGCTCACCGTGATGCACGTATTAAGCTGCAGTAACGTTAACAAACGTAAACTTACCAGCTGAAATCCCAGCCGAAGCCTAACACTTGATTTGTTTTTTATTTTAAAACTCTCTGGACCTAGTAGTGGATTTTTCTTGATTGAGATTATTTTATGGTATAGCAGTTTTCAAAATAAATGCTGGCGAAATGACACCCTACGCTTTTTTTTTCATTCTGATTGCAAGTTTTAGACCAAAAACACATCATGATATATATATATTGTTACCGCCACCCATCACGATAGATATCGGGATATGAATTTTATGCCATATCGCACATCCCTAGTCGGCACCATAAAAGAACCGAAGTTTGGTACTCAGCCCTACCCAGACCAGAGAATCAGATCCAGAAGCTGGATGGACACCTGTTGGAAAACTTCCTCCAGATGATCAGATGTTTGTTGGAGTCTGACACTTCTGACAGATATTAATATTTTCTTGTTCGTCTGCAGCTTCGGTCTGTTGGGTCCGCTCATTCTGTTCGGTCCTCTCGGTCCACTCGGTCCGTTCTGCTCTGTACATTCAGTCCCCTCGTTCCACTCAATCCATTCAATCCATTCAGTCCCCTCAGTTCGCTCGTTCCGTTCTGCTCGGTCCGTTCTGCTCGGTCCAGACGATTCTCTCGGTCCGTTCGGTCCTCTTGTTCCTTTCGGACTGCTCAGTCCATTCGGTCCGTTCGGTCCCCTCAGTCTACTTGTTCCGTTCTGCTAAGTCCGTTCTGCTCGGTCCATTCGATTCCCTCGGTCCCTTGTTCCCCTCGGTCAGTTCGGACTGTTCGTTCCGTTCCATTCAGTTTGCTCGGACCTCTTGGTCTGTTCGGTTTGCTCGGTCCGTTCAGTCTATTCGGACCGCTCGGTCCCCACAGTACGTTCGGACTCGGACGTTCGGCTTTACTTCCTGATTGAGTTCAGGAAACAGTGCAGGAGGAGAAAACTTCCTTCAAAATAAAAACCAGTTAAAATATCACTTTCAGTCATTGAAGGGTCATTTCCACTCACCGTACGTGGGCTTTGAGTTGGATCAGGACCTGGACCTAGTGGTTCTGCATGTCGAGTTGTTTTTGTTGACCTTTTATTGTTGCTTTTAGAACTTGTTGACCATTTGTTTCTCTGCAGATCTCCCACATCAACATGTTAGTATAGAAGAGGTTCTGGTGGACCAGCAGGAACCAGAACCTCTTCAGATTAAAGAAGAACCAGAGGAACTTTGCTCTGATCAGCTGGTTCTGAAGCAGCAGACCGGTACCTTGGTCCTGGTTCAGTTGAAATCTGAATGTGAGGAAATATTTTCTGCTGCTGCTGAGAAACTCTTCGGTGTCTACGTCCGGTTCCAGGAGCAGCTGGACCGTCGGCGCCGACCACTTCCTGTTTCTGAGGAGCTGTCGCCTGGAACAGGTTCGTGTCCAGAGATCCAGATCAACTTTACGGGTTTAACCGACTCGGATCAGATGTTTAAAAAGCTTTTAATGCTGTTAGTTCATACAACTTATAATGCCAAAGATAAAAACTGATATATTTATTTTTTCATTCAACTTTATTTCTACAGGTTAGTCCCATTGAGCCTCGGGGACTCATTTACAAGAGAGACCTGGTTTAACAAAGAATGATGACAACAGTGGACAACAATAGACGATCCCAAAAGCAGCATACAATTATTATTAATTTTTTTTACAAAACAAAACAGCCATCAAAAGGAAAAGTATCGGGGGGGGGGGGGGGGGACACCTAGATTATAAGGTGGTGTAGAAAACTAAAAACAGGAACATGTCTGCATTAGTTTTTCCCAGGAACTGTTTTCATTCATTCATTCAACCTTTATTTAGACAGATAAGTCACATTGAGGGCAGCACAGTGGCACAACTGGTAGAGCTGCTGCCTCTCAGCAGGAAGGTTGCCAGTTCAAATCCCGGTCCAGGGGCCTTTCTGGGTGGAGTTTGCATGTTCTCTTCGTACATGTGTGGATTTTCTCTGGGTACTCTGGTTTCCTCCCACAGTCCAAAAACATGCATGTTAGACTGATGGTAACTCTAAATTGTCCCTAGGTGTGAATGAGAGAGAGAATGGTTGTTTGTCTCGTTTGTCTCTATGTGTCCCTGTGATGGACTGGAGACCTGTCCAGGGTGTTCCCCGCCCCTCGCACATTGACTGCTGGACATGGGCACCGGTGACCCCCGTGACCCAAAATGGAAGAAGCGGGTAAAGATAATGGATGGATGGATGGATGGAAGTCACATTGAGCCTAGAAGATTCATTTACAAGTGAGATCTGTTTAGACAGACAAAAAGTAGTGAAACTGGACACAAGTAGGAGTTGAACTTAACAGATGTTTGAAGCCACTTAGAGAGGTCAAAGGTCGAGAGCTTCAGATCTTTTTGTAAGATATTCCAGGAAACAGGAGCGGAGTAGGAGAAGGTCCTTTTGTCTAGTTCAGTCCTCACTGAGGGAACACTGCAGGTAATGATGTCCTGAGAGCGCACGCTGTAGCTGCACTCACGCAGAGACATGTAGGAGGAGATGTATGAAGGCAGCAGACCAGGAAGAGATTTAAAGATGAAAATGTACCAGTGAGAGAGTCTGTGTGAAGTTAATGGTGACCAGTTAACCAGTGTATACTGGGAGCAGTGGTGGGTACGATAATCACAGCCAGTTATGAATCTTAGTGCACCGTGATAGACAGCATCCAACATCTGCAGCATCCAACATCTGCAGCATCCAACATCTGCAGGGTTCTTGTAGGAGCGTTCATGTAAATAATGTCACCGTAATCAATTGAGGGAAGGAAAGTCACAGATACAAGGTGTTTCCTAACATTCAGGGTTAGACAGGATCTGTTTCTGAAAAAGAAACCCAGTTTAACTTTCAGTTTCTTTACCAAGTTTTCCACATGGAGCTTAAAAGAAAGATGTGAGTCGACCAAGATACTCAAATATTTATAGGAATCAACAAACTCAATTGGGACACCATTTGAGGATAAAATCAGAGGAAGAACTGCTGGGACCAACTTCCTGTTTGAAAAAAGCATCCCTTTGGTTTTATCAGCATTTAGGACAAGTTTGAGTTTGAACAAATCTGACTGGATGTTGTCAAAGACGGTTTGCAAAAGCTAGAAAGCCTTAGCAACAGTTTTAGCTCGACAATAAACAACTGTGTCATCAGCATAGAAATGTATGGATGCGTCAGGGATGCTCTGACCTACATTACCTATGTAGATTTTAAAGAGGGTGGGTCCTAAGACTGAGCCTTGTGGTACACCATTGTTGACTGTTAAATAACTGGAGGAAGTACCATTATGTTGAACACATTGCCTCCGGCCTGAGAGATAGTTAGAGAACCAACCAATGGTGTGATCTGAGAAACCAATTTCTAAGAGTTTATGACACAAGATGTTCTGATCCACAGTGTCAGAATCTTTAGACAGGTCTAAGAAAAGTGCAGCACAATAATCCTTAGCATCCAGTGCTTCAACAACGTCATTAAGAACCTTCAGTGAAGCAGTGGTTGTGCTGTGTTGTTTCCTGAAACCAGATTGATGTGGAGGTAAGATGTTAAATGAGTCCAGGTCATTTTTGATTTGAGAGTTTATCAGTTTTTCTAGAACCTTGGCTAAAATGCAGAGTTTAGAGATTGGTCCATAGTTGTTCAGTTAGGTGGGGTCACCTCCCTTCAGCAAAGAAGAACAAAGGCTGTTTTCAAGTGTCTGGATGGAGTTTTGTCTTATGGAGAGATTGAAGATGTGGGTCACAGGGACTGTGATGATATGAGCAGCCAGCCTTAAGAAATAAGGTGGAAGTTCATCTGGTCCTGCAGATTTTTTAGGATCAAGATCTTTTAACAGTTTATTGACCTCACTGACTGAGAATGGAGAAAAAGAGAAGGTGTGATTAACTGAGGGTTGACTTGTAGGAGGGATTTGATTTGTAGAAGTTTGGTTATTAAGTGAAGTGGCTGATCTTCCATTAGTAACTGTGTCAAATAAAGAACCAGAAGCAACAAAATGTTTGTTGAGACAGTTCAGGATCTCGTGCTGATTTGACACAGGAACAGAGTTAACGAGAAGTTGTGATGGGAGGTCAGATGATTGGGGGGTGCCTGAGAGAGATTTGATGGTTTTCCAGAATCTGTTAGGGTCATTTAGATTTTTGGAGGTCTGAGATAAAAAATAGTTGTTTTGCTGCTTTGACAGAAGTTGTACATTTATTCCTCATCTGTTGAAAACTCAACCAATCAGTGTCTGAGCCAGATTTTCTCGCTGTGGCCCAAAGATGATGAATTTAATGAGGACATGCGTAGGAAAGATGGCGTCAACCAAAGCATAAACAATAAACAAACAACAACAACAGCAGCAAAACAAATACAGCAGAGCATTTTAAAAACTCATTTCTTAAAGGTTTTGGCCTGGACAAGACTTTTAAGACCAGTTTCCACTGTTTTGCCATGTTCCTCTTTTGGTGCCCATTGGCATCAGAAGCATTTGTAAAGTAGGGGGCACTAGTTGGGGGGGGGGGGGACACACTAGTGGACGTGTCTGGGGTCCTCCCCCAGAAATTTTTGAATAAAGTAGATGCCATTTCCTGCATTCTGGTGTATTTTAACAGGTTGTTAAACATCTACATTTACCTACAGATGTAAACACTTGATTCAATAATTATTTTAGGGACATTGACAAAATAAAGTCAAGTTCTCTGGACGGATAAAAAAAATGGTTGAAATTATTTTTCATTCATCAGGATATTTTAGAGAGAGCTCTTTCAACTAGTCCATATCATCCTGTTTTTAAACTCACTCCTATGACTAAGATATTAATGTGACACAATTTATCAGAATGACTTTAGGGGTGCACTTGACTTTATTTTAACTTTTTATTTTTTTTATTTGTAACACAACCTGTCATTGTGAAAAGCAATGGTGACACTGAACTGCATGTTTAAAAAGAAGAATATTAACTTTACCCAATGAACAGGTGACATTTTAATAACCACTAACAGTGAATTTTTTTTTTGGGGGGGGGGGGCTTTTTACTCTTTTCTGATTTAGTGACATAACAGCAACTGACCTGACATCATGCAGCTTCACAACACAATTACACTGTGCCGAGCAGGTGACAAACAAACAAACAAAAAACTAAATCATTTTAGTCAGTTTTGTCAACTTGCATGTAATTATTAAAACTAAAATAATTTACAGGTTCCTTCCTTGCTGCCACAATTTTTACACTTAATAACTTTTATTCTTCTTTACATCCTCTTGGAATAACATCCATCTCCTTCCCCATCACTGATTTTAACTATTTTACTTTCCAGAAAACTTGTTACTTGGCTTCTTTCTCCCCAACATGATATTTCTCCTTCAAGGTGTTCTCTATAACTCCATCAGCTGAACTTTTCAAATCTGATGGCAAAATCTCACCATGCACAACACAGACGCGCTAGCTAAGATGCTACACACTCCGCTTCTCGCATATCCTTCCCCCCCCCCCCCCCACACACACACACACACACACACACACGCCGTTCAACAGCTCAACATCACCAACGTAGCTGCAAGCTAAAGCGCAACACGGAGGTGTTTCCCCTAGCCCCGACAAACCCCCCCCCGAAAAAAGATTCCCCGGAAAGGGACCCCCCCCCCCCCCTTCCCGGAAAACATACACTCTTTGGATCTGGACGATTCACCTAAATGACATTTTAGTTTGAAAAGCAACTAGTTTGCAGGTATGTCAGAAGAACTGTTTTTAAGTCCTGAGGTCTGGTCTCTTTGGACCCTATCGGTCCTGGACGGTGCAGAAGCAACCCCAACACGAAGCAGATCTTTTTCTTTAAGCTTATATTTGTTTCAGTCTTTGTTACTTTTCTTTTTGCTCACGTTGACGTGATTGTTGTCAGATTTATTATTTTGCTCTTTAAGTAAATTGACAGATTATAAACGGTTTTATGGACCCAGGACTGATTATCAGTTGAGTTCTGTTTATTTTGCGTTTTGTTCAATTTGATCCCGGAGCTCAACTAAATAATTTCAATAAGCCTCAGACTTCACCGGAACCTTGTCTGCACCGTTAACATCAGTGGCACCAGCGTGTTTTTATACGGTTTCAACACCGCCGCAGACGTTTTTTTTCCTCCACTGTGATGGTTTGAAGCTCCGCTCAGACGGAGCCAACCAGAAATCTGACAAAAACTTTTATTTACGTTGAAAGGTTTAAACAATTAAAAAAATATCCACGCTGATCAGGTACACAGAATCATCTCAGCAGCTGTACGTTTATGTTACACTACGATCAAGTTCATCGTTTTATTACATTCAGAACTACTGAACACTTCGTTTCCACAGTGTGTTTGACATTTCCTCTGATTTTTTGTCCCAGCAGATGTTGGTAAAGAGGAGGAGGAAGAGGTTCTAAGTGATGAAGAGTTCTGTAACAAGGAGGAAGCAGAACCTCCACACATTAAAGAGGAACCAGAGGACAGCTTTGACACGGTTATTGTGACTTATGATGAAAGTGACCTCAGTGATCCAGAACTGGACACAGACCAGAGATATCCTTCTGAAATCTGCGGAAAGAGCTGCAGTCAGAGCAGTAGTTTAAAGGTCCGCCTGAGAACCCACGCAGGTGAGAAGGCTTACTCTTGCAGCTCCTGTGGGGAACAGTTTAGTCAGAAAAACGCACTGAGACGACACATGGCCGGTCACTTCGAGGAGAAGCCATTTCCTTGCGAAACCTGTGGGAAAAGGTTCAGGTTTAAGAACAGCCTGTCAGTCCACAAGAGAACCCACAGAAGCGAGAAACCATACATTTGTAAAATCTGTGGGGAAAGATTTGGTTATTTCGCCACCTTAAAATGTCATATGTCCTCACACTCAGGTGAGAGACTGCACACCTGTGAAACATGTGGGAAAACCTTCATTCACAGTAAAAGTTTATTGAGTCACATCAGGTCTCATACAGGTGAGAAGCCCTTTACCTGTGGAACATGTGGGAAAAGCTTTGCCCGGAACGACAGCCTAGTGGACCACATGAAGACCCACACTGGAGAGAAACTGTTTTCCTGTCCAAACTGCGAGAAAACCTTCCTCCGCAGTGGTCAGCTGTCTCGCCACTTGAGAGTCCACACAGGTGAGAAACGTTACACCTGCAGCACCTGTGGAGAAAGATTTAACTACTCCTCTGTGCTGAAAAGACACATGAGAACACACACAAGCGAAAAACCTTATTCCTGCGAATTATGTGGAAAAAGTTTTAGCCAAAGTGGGAATCTGCGCTTCCACATGAAAACCCACACAGGTGAGAAGCAGTACTCGTGCCAGGTGTGTGGGAAAAGCTTCATCCGAAGTCACAGTCTGGTAATGCACAACAGAACTCACACCGGTGAGAAGCCGTACACCTGCAGGACCTGTGGGAAGAGTTTCAGACACAGAAGTGCCATGACTGTCCACATGAGGACTCACACAGGTGAGAAACCCTACACCTGTGAAAAGTGTGGCAAAACCTTCAGGTTTAACGGTGGTCTGACCTGCCACATGAAAACCCACCTGAACCAAGAGCAGCATTTGGGTTTCCTTTATGGCGCCGAAGCTGCTGATGAACTGCAGCGGTTTTAAGTATGAAATGAAGCAGGAGGTACTCCATTTTACTGAGATGATCCTAAACTATAGAGCTGTCCAACTTTGAGACGTCCCACGAGCTAACTGACACAAACTGCTGCTGCAGAGTCATTTTTACAGATGATGAGCTCGAATTTGAGATGGTAGTAGCTGAGAGTCAAACAGAACATACTTGGAGCGTTATTAAAAATGTTCTGTGTGAAAACGACCAACACTAATAAAAGTTACTTTTAAAACAAGTTCATTCTCTTGTTTTGGTTTTCTCATGAATTTTAATAATTTTCTTTGGAGTCGGGCTCAAACACAGAAAATACTTTTTGTTTTATGTATTTTTCATTAAATAAATCAAATGTAAGAATAATTTATTAACAAAAACCTTGTGGGAACAGCTCCGGTAAGCCGCCTCGACAATAGAGGCGCGGAACGTGGCACACTCGGACTCAATGTCCCCCACCTCCCCCGGAATGTGTTCAAGTTCTCCCGGAGGAGGGAGTTAAAGCTCCGTCTCACAGGAGACTCTGTTAGACTTCCCAGCAGACCCTCACAATACGTTTTGGCCTGCCAGGTCTGACCGGCATCCTCCCCCACCAATGGAGCCAACTCACCACAGTGGTCAGTGGACAGCTCCGCCCCTCTCTTCACCTGAGTGTCCAAGACATGCGGTTGCAGATCAGATGAGACGACAACAACAAAGTCGATCATTGAACTGTGGCCTATGGTGTCCTGGTACCAAGAGCACATATGGACCCCCTTATTTATGCTTGAACATGATGTTTGTTATGGACAATCTACGACAAGTACATAAGTCCAACAGCAGAACACCACTCTGGTTTAGATCAGGGGGGCCATTCCTCCCAAACACACTCCTCCAGGTCTCATTGTCATTGCCCACGTGAGCGTTTAAGTCCCCCCAGCAGAACAAGGGAGACCCCAGGAGGCGCACTCTCCAGTACTCCCTCCAAGGACTCCAAAAAGGGTGGGTAATCTGAACTGCTGTTTGGTGCATAAGCACAAACAACAGTCAGAACCCATCCCCCCACACGTAGGCGGAGGGAGGCTACCCTCTCGTTCACTGGGGTGAACCCCAACATCTAGGCACAGAGATGGGGGGGCAACAAATATGCCCACTCTGGCTTGGCGCCTCTCACCAGGGGCAACTCTGGAGTGAAAGAGTGTCCAACCCCTCTCAAGGAAACTGGTTCCAGAGCCATGTGTTGAGGTGAGTCCGACTATTTCTAGCCGGTACCTTTCAACCTCACACACCAGCTCAGACTCCTTCCCCACCAGAGAGGTGACATTCCACGTCCCAATAGCCAGCTTTTGTAGCTAAGGATCAGACTGCCAAGGTCCCCGCCCTCGGCCACCACCCATCCCACAATGCACCCGACCCCTTTGGCCCCTCCCACAGGTGGTGAGCCCATGGGAAGGGGGAACCACATCTCTTCGGGCTGTGCCTGGCTCCATGGGTAAAAGCCAGGCCACCAGGCGCTCGCCAGAATGCCCCACCTCCAGGCCAGCTCCAGAGTGGAGCCCTGGTGACCCACGTCCAGGCAAGGGAACATTGTTTCCATTTGTTTGATTCATCATAAGGGGTCTTTGGGCTGCACTTTGTCTGGTCCCTCACCTAGAACCTGTCTGCCTTGGGTGACCCTACTAAGGGCATGAAGCCCCTGACACTATAGCTCCTAGGATCATTGGGACACTCAAACCCCTCCACCATGGTCAAGTGGCAGTCCAAGCGGCATGCGGCTCGGGTGATCACTGAGGCAAAAACTCAGGCGTGGGAGGAGTTCGGAGAGGCCATGAAGAATGACTTCCATACGGCCTCCAAGCAATTCTGGTCTACCATCTGGCATCGGAGGGGGGTTACACCACCAACACCGTTTATAGTGGAGGTGGTGTGCTGCTGACCTCAACTCGGGATGTCATGGGTCGGTGGGTGGAGTACTTTGAAGACGTCCTCAATTCCACCAGCACGTCTTCCACTGAGGACGCAGAGCCTGGGGACTTTGGGTCGTGCTGTCCAATCTCTGGTGCTGAAATCACCGAGGTGGTTAAAAAGCTCCTTGTCGGCAGGGCCCCAGGGGTGGATGAGATTCTCCCGGAGTTCCTTAAAGCTCTGGATGTTGTGGGGTTGTGTTGGCTTACATGACTCTGCAATATTGTGTGCACATTGGGGGCAGTTCCCCTGGATTAGCAGACTGGGGTGGTGGTCCCCCATTCAAAACTGGGGACCGTAGAGTGTGTTTCAACTACAGGGGGATCATGCTCTTAAGCCTCCTTGGTAAGGTCTATTCAGAGGTTCTGGAGAGGAGGTTCCATCTGATAGTCGAACCTCAGATTCAGGAAAAGTAGTGTGGTTTTCGTCCTGGTCTTGGAACACTGGACCAGATGTACACCCTCAGCAGGGTCCTGGAGGGTGTGTGGGAGTTTGCCCAACCAGTCTAGATGGGCTTTGTGGACTTTGAGATGGCCTTCGACTGCATCCCTCGGGGAACCCTGTGGGTGGTACTCTGGGAGTATGGGATACCAGACCCTTTGATACAGGCTGTTAGGTCTCTGTATAACCGGTGTCAGAGTTTGGTCCGCATTGCCGGCAGTAAGTTGGGCTCATTCCCTGTGAGAGCTGAACTCGGCCAAGGTTGCCCTTTGTCACCGATTCTGTTCATAACTTATGGACAGAGTTTCTAGGCGCACCAAAGGTGTGGAGGGGATCCGTTTTGGTGGCCTTGGGATCCCGTCTCTGCTTTTAGCAGATGATGTGGTCCTATTGGCTTCATCAGGTCATGATCTACAGCTTTCGCTGGAGCAGCTCACAGCAGAGTGTGTCACGGCCTGGATGAGGATCAGTTCCTCCAAATCCGAGGCCATGGTCTTGAGCCGGAAAAGGGTAGAGTGCCCTCTCTGGGTCGGGGAGGAGGTCTTGCCCCAAGTGGAGGAGTTCAAGTATCTTGTCGTCTTGTTCACGAATGAGGGAAAAATGGAGAGAGAGATCGATAGGCAGATAGGTGTGGTGTCTGCAGTGAAGCGGGCGCTGTACCGATCTGTCGTGGTGAAGAGAAAGCTGAGTCAAAATGCGAAGCTCTCAATTTACCGCTCTATCTACGTTTCTATCCTCATCTATGGTCATGAGCTTTGGATTTTGACCAAAAGAACAAGATCTTGGATGCAAATGGCCAAAGTGAGTTTTCTCTGCAGGCTGTCTGGGCTCTCCCTTAAAGATAGGGTGAGCAGCTCGGTCTTCTAGGAGGGACTCAAAGTAGAGCTGCTGCTCTGTGGTGGAAGTGGTCTCCAGCTACAAGTACTTGGGTGTACACATGAACGACAACCTCAGCTGGGGCAACAACACTTCCAGCCTGATCAAGAAAGCTCATCAGAGACTCTACTTCCTCAGGTGGCTGAGACGAGCTGGTCTGGAAGCTCAGTCCTCACCTCCTTCTACAGGTGTGCAGTGGAGAGCATCCTGTGCTCCAGCATCAACGTGTGGCATGGAGGCTGCACAGCTGCAGAAAGAAAAGCTTTGCAGAGAGTGGTGAAGGCTGCACAGAAGATGTTGGAGTCAGTCTCCCCACCATCACAGGCATTTGCACCTGCATCATGAAGGACCCCACTCACCCAGCACACACACTTTTTGCCCTGCTCCCCTCAGGAAGGAAGTTGAGGAGCATTAAGTGTAGAACCACTAGACTGAGGAACAGCTTCTACCCAGATGCCCGAGCCACCTCAACTGGCTCCTATCAACGTGGAGAAGCAGAGTCAGAGATTCTTTATCGTCGTTCGCACGAAATTATGTACACAGGGTCCCAGTTACATCCAACAATAAATATGTAAAAGAAAAACAGTAATAAGATCTAAAATATGAACTAAGAAAGACATCAACTAAATATACACTAAGCACTAATAGCATAAAAACATTACGTCGAACAGCAGCACATGAGCATGAGTCTGTGTGAGCAGATGAGCACGCATGAACACATTAGCATGAAACAGATCAGCAGCAACATGATGCGATTTTTCAGTGATTATTCTGGTTAGAGATTCATGAGTCTAAGAGCTTCAGGTTAGGATGCCTCCCTGGTGAGGTGTTCCAGACACGTCCCACTGGGAGGAGACCCAGAGGAAGACCCAGGACACGCTGGAGGGACTATGTTTCTCGGCTGGCCTGGGAACGCCTCAGACTTCCCCCGGAGGAGCTGGACCAAGTGGCTGGGGAGAGGGAAGTCTGGGCCTCCCTACTTGAGCTGCTACTCCCACTACCCGACCCCGGATAAGCGTAAGAAAATGGATGGATAATTTATTAACCTAATCAAATTAATATTTACCCTTTAGAGGAGCTCATACTAATTTTTTTTTTCATTTACCATTTACAGGTCCTTCTAAAAAAATTAGCATATTGTGATAAAGGTCATTATTTTCCATAATGTAATGATAAAAATGAAACTTTCATATATTTCAGATTCATTGCGCACCAACTGAAATATTTCAGGTCTTTAATTGTTTTAATACTGATGATTATGGCATACAGCTCATGAAAACCCAAAATGCCTGTCCCAAAAAATGAGCATATCATGAAAAGGTTCTCTAAACAAGCTATTAACCTAACCATCTGAATCAACGACGTAACTCTAAACACCTGCAAAAGATTCCTGAGGCTTTTAAAAACTCCCAGCCTTGTTCATTACTCAAAACCACAATCATGGGTAAGACTGCCGACCTGACTGCTGTCCAGAAGGCCATCATTGACACCCTCAAGCAAGAGGGTAAGACACAGAAAGAAATTGCTGAACAATAGGCTGTTCCCAGAGTGCTGTATCAAGGCACCTCAGTGGGAAGTCTGTGGGAAGGGAAAAGTGTGGCAGAAAACGCTGCACAACGAGAAGAGGTGACCGGACCCTGAGGAGGATTGTGGAGAAGGGCCGATTCCAGACCTTGGGGGACCTGCGGAAGCAGTGGACTGAGTCTGGAGTAGAAACATCCAGAGCCACTGTGCACAGGCGTGTGCAGGAAATGGGCTACAGGTGCCGCATTCCCCAGGTCAAGCCACTCTTGAACCAGAAACAGCGGCAGAAGTGCCTGACCTGGGCTACAGAGAAGCAGCACTGGACTGTTGCTCAGTGGTCCAAAGTACTTTTTTCGGATGAAAGCAAATTTTGCATGTCATTCGGAAATCAAGGTGCCAGAGTCTGGAGTAGAAACATCCAGAGC